GCCTGCGCTGCAGTGAGGGGTGGGGAGAAAGGAGTAGAGGTAGTGGAGGAGGACGAGGTGGCAGCAGCACTAGGCCTTGCAAGGCTCATAGATGCAAGCTGTGCCTCTTCATTAATACAGACCACAATCACTAGACCAAACAACAAGGGTTATAAATATCCACAGTTCATTCACCTGCACTTCTACCAATGTCATATATGTCAGTCAGTGAGGGCCAACCTTTTTGGCAGGCATGCCACAAATTAGCCCTGCACCTTCCTTTATGAGCCACTCCAATTCCCTTCCGCTGCTTGACTCGCTGATCTGCTTTCTGCTCCCTGCCCTATCTGCTGCTGTGCTTCCTCCCCGATCTGCCACATGCTGAGGTTGCCCTTGCCACTTGTAGCACCTGTACTGCAGGTTGGCCACCCCTGATGTATACCTGCTTATGATTCCCCTCTGCTGTCTACACTGGACAGTCAGGGCAATCTATACATGGATAAATGAATGAATGAACACTGATCTGACATCAGTTGCAGAAAGACACACAAGTCTGTGGCAGAACAGTTTAACCTCTGACCCCAGAGCTGTTCTAAAACAAACAAAAAAAAAACTTTAAAAACCAACCTCAATGCACAATAGTGAAACAAGAAATCATTTGCAGACTGCATTGTTTTTGTTAAGTATGGTCTTGGTTATGGAACTAGGGATAAAAACCCATAGTCCCATAAAATCCAAATAACTGGATATGTTTTTATGACCCCTTTGTCTGTATGGGTGTATTACTCTGCCTCTCCCAGGACTGCCCACCCCTCCCTCCTCCTTTCCCTCCCTCCCCTCTCTTTTATGGTCAAATCACTCTCTCACTTTGATAAGACTGCTCTGTGCATGTCATTTTACCGCATCTGATGAAGTAAGCTCAGGCTCATGAAATGTTATGAATCTCTGATTGAATTAGTCTGTAAGGTGTATTTTTACCCTGTTACCTTCTGGAAGGAAAGAGCACCTGACTAGCACTTACTCCTCACTAGAGCTTGCACTTATCTTGCTTATCTCCTCTTCTAGGTCGTACCCTTCAAAGGCTGTCATGGCACCCCAGGGTACTGCAGCACCCTGGCTGAAATTCACTACTCTATGGCCTCCCCAAACAGGAGCCAAGTGCTTTTGGAGGAAAGGAGAATATGCCTGACAGCCATCCTTAAGGTTACATCAGCCTAGCACCCTTCTCTAGGACCCAGATCCCATTCTTTTGGGCTTACCCACCTAATTTCTGATCCTTTCATCATCTCCCAGTAACAGCCCTATAAAAACTCTGGCGCACAGAATATTTTCTCGCCTTGACCTAATCCTGTGGTCACTGGGGTGACAAACTCTGAAATGGGGCAGGGATGCAGCAAAAAAAACCTGCAGGTGTTTTTTTGAGGTCAGTGAATGGGGGAAGGAAATAAGTTGAGAACTACTGTGCTAGTGTTGAAAACAGATGGCCTTATTCACATGGAAATGTTTCATTTTACATCTTCTGCGCAGACTAGTGACAGTCTAACTACCAGCTGCATCTTATCGGGTTTCTTGACCCCAGGGAATTGCTTAACACTGAAATGACACATGGAATTACAATGACTACAAACCTCAAATGAGGAATCCTGAAGAGCTTCAGAGAAAACGCATTATGTTTATTTCGAATAACTGCAACACTTAACAACATAAAAAAAAATAGACGGTACACTATTTTAACTCGCACATACTCTAGCATAGGAATAATACATGCTTGATATATGCTTCTTTTTTAGCTTGGCCAACAGAACAAGTTTTTTCACTTCCCATAAATACACCTTGTGCCCTAGGACAAAAAAGAATTTTTAAATCAGGCACAGAACAAAAAAGCTAGTTTGTATACAATGTAATCAGCAGACTAGGTTTTTCCCTGACAAGACAATGGAAGACGAACAGAGTCAGGCTTACCTAGCAGATAAGACAGAAGTTTTAATTGTGGTTAAAGACCATTTATATCC